TCCCGCCATCCACTGCCAGAAAGCCCAGCTTCTCCTGCTCTGTGACTCAGCCTTGCAGGTGTTTACATCTCACCCCCACGCCACCACCCGGGATGAAGAATGATGCACTCACATCAGGAGGCATTAATGGCTTAGTAATTCCTTAGACACAGGAAAGTAGAAAAGGTGGGTGGGGGGGGGAATCTAATGTGATGGGCGAGGGAGTCTGGAAGCTGGGTAGGGAAGGACTGCAGGCCTTCCTAGAGGTAGCCAGCTGTCAAATTCCTTTTTTCAAGAGCCAGAGGCATTTCTTGTTTTCAGCATCTGTTGCGCTCAGGATCTGCCTGGACCTGAAGGAAACTGGGCATTAGTCCTGTTGTCTACTAGGAAACCCACTTCTAGCACCTTTAGAGGTTGGAGGAGGTTGCAGCAGTGACCTCCCACAAGAGTCTGCTGCTCTGAAGCCCTGGGAATGTATCAGCTTTGACTCCAGCCTTAATGCAAGATGAGTCAGACACGTCTCAGCTCCCTGATGCTGGGGGTTTACTTCTTGCCAATGAACTTCAGCTTTCTAACTGTAAAAATGAAGACACATTATTGTCCAGCCTGGCCAGCATAGCAAGATCTCATCTCTTAAAAAAATGGAGACAATTATTTTGGCTTCACAACAATATAAATTTTTTTTGTTTGTTTTTGAGACAGAGTCTTGCTCTGTCATCCAGGCTGGATTGCAATGGCATGATCTCGGCTCACTGCAACCTCCACTGCTTGGGTTCAAGCGATTCTCTTGCTGCAGGCTCCCAAGTGGCTGGGATTACAGGTGTGTGCCACCACGTTCAGCTAATTTTTGTAATTTTAGTAGAGATGGGGCTTTGCCATGTTGGTCAGACTGGTCTCAAACTCCTGACCTCAGGTGATCCGCCTGCCTCGGCCTCCTAAGGATTACAGATGTGAGCCACCATGCCTGGCAACAATATTCATTCATTCTTAATTCCCCAAATATTTATTGTATCTAACATGTGATAAGTGTACTAGTATGTTATAGGGATACAACAGAAAAGTAAAAACTAGACTGGGCCTGGTGGCTCATGCCTGTAATACCAGCACTTTGGGAGGCCAAGGCGGGTGGATCACCTGAGTTCAGGAGTTTGAGGCCAGCCTGGCCAACATGGTGAAACCCCCATCTCTACTAAAAAAACACAAAAATTAGCCGGGTATGGTGGAAGGCACCTGTAATTCCGACTACTCGGGAGGCAGAGGCAGGAGAATTGCTTGAACCTGGGAGGCAGAGGTTGCAGTGAGCCGAGATCACACGATTGCACTCTAGCCTGGGTGGCAAGAGCAAAACTCTGTTTAAAAAAAAAAAAAATACCCACAGCATCTCTTATGTCAAGCTACAGCTTAGTGGGGCAGCAGATGATGATCAAAGGAACTCAACTGTGCCACGTGTGATGAAGAGGGGTCCATGGTGCTGGGAGAGAGTTTCTTAAGGGATCTGACTTAGTCGATGTAGAGGAAGGTCAAGGAAGTTTTCCTAAAGTGATATTTGAGCTCATGTGGTGTTAGCCAGGCAAAGCAAGGCAATGGCATGAGGTGGGAAGAGGGGGCAGGGCAGTGTTTGAGGCAATGGTAATAGCTTTGGAAAGAGGGAATATGGTTTAAGAAAGTGCTAGAAGCCAGCGTGCTGGCATGTGCCTGTAGTCTCAACCACTGAGGAGACCAAGGTAGGATGATTGCCTGAACCCGGGAGTTTAAAGCCAGCCTGGGCAACATAGGCCCCATCTGTTAAAGAAAATAAAGAGAGAAGGGAAGAAAGTACTGGAGGCCACTGTGGCTGGGACCTCCAGGAGGAAAACCATGCGGAATGGGGCTGAGGTCTCAGGGGCTCTGCAGTGTGATTTTTATTATAAAGTCAACGCAAACCACTGAAACCACCTAAGCAGAGAATAATGGATTCAATTTTCAGTTTAAAAAAATTGTTCGGGGAGGACGGTGGAGAATAGACTGGAGGTGGGGCTATTGTCGTTGTTTAGTGGAGAAAAGTTGGAAGTTTGGCTTAAGATCAATGGCACAGAATGAAATGTCTCTAAGTTTATGGCTTAAGCAACTGGAGTTCATGTTGAAGAGAGCTGAAGACATGGGTGTTGCTGAGCTGCCTGGGGAGAAAATATCTAGTAAGAAAAGAGGGGAGATAGGTCGGAGCCTATAGCAATTCTAATCATCAAAGACGGTAGAGAAGAGGCTGAGCCTGCCAATGAGACAGAAGTGAATTAATGAGATGGGGGTGAAACCAGAGGCTGTGTCTGATGGAATCAAGGTGTATGCCTCAAAGGAGGGACTGTCCCTCAAATCTTGCTGAGGGAAAATGCTATTTTTTTCTTTCTTTCTTTCTTTTTTTTTTCCAGACAGGGTCTTGCTCTGTTGCTCAGGGTGAACTGCAGTGGCATGATCACAGCTCACTGCAACCTCAACTTCTCAGGCTCTAGTGATCCTCCCGACTCAGCCACCCACGTAACTGGGACCACAGGTGCACACCATCATGCCTGGCCAACTTTTGTGTTTTTGGTAGAGACGGGGTTTTACCATGTTTCCCAGGCTGGTCTGGAATCCCTGAGCGCAAGCGATCCACCCACCTCGACCTCCCAAAGTGTTAGGATTACAGCTGTAAGCCACTATGCCTGGCTGCCCTTTTGTTCTTTTTTTTTTTCCCCCCCCACACATGCAGGTCATTTAAGTACTGAGAAGGAGCTGATGTGTTTGGGTACAGATTGAGTGGAATAAGGCATGGCTTCTTAAACTTCAATCATTTGTATATCATGCTAAGGGCATCTGTAATAGCCCTGTAATACTATTACTTAACAGTTTTTCCTGGCCGGGCGCGGTGGCTCACGCCTGTAATCCCAGCACTTGCAGAGGCTGAGGCAGGTGGATCTCTTGAAGTCAGGAGTTCAAAACCAGCCTGGCCACATGGTGAAACCCCATCTCTACTAAAAATATAAAAGTTATCTGGGTGTAGTGGCAGGGGCCTGTAGTCCCAGCTACCCAGGATGCTGAGGCAGGAGAACCGCTGGAACCCGAGAGGCAGAGGGCACAGTGAGCCGAGATCACACCACGACACTCAACCTCGGCAACAGAGTGAGCCTCTGTCTTAAAAAAAAAAAGAAAGAAAAGATTATAAAGGCAGAAATTCTTGGGGTGAGGAGAAGAACTTTAAAATATAAAATTAACTAGATACTTTTTCAAGAAGAAAAATATCAGGGAGTACTGAAAAAGAACAATTATATAAAGAAAGAGAAATTAATCTAAATAGCAACCAAAAACCCTATAAGAATGTATCAGCAGTCCATCAAAAAACAAGTAGCTACAAGCTTGACACTAATTCAAAGTCAGTATTTTCTTCTGACTGACAGACTCAGGGAAAGACAAGCCAAAAATGAAAGTTACTTTATCCACCATATAGGAAAAGAAATTTGTCATCCATAACATAAATTGCTAAAACCTAACAGCATTTATTTTTAGATAAAAAGAGTATTAAGGAGAGCTGGTAAAAACAATTCATTACAAAGTAAGTTTTGTGTGTGTATGTATGTTTAAGTCTGGCATTCATTTTCAAAAACTGACTTGCTCTTTTTCCAGGCAAAAATATGTACTTTTGGAACAAGTAAAAAATTATAATAACATGAAAAAACAATATTTATGAAGAAGTGTAAGCTTAAACATAGTTCTAGCCATAAAAAGTCTGACCCTATTGCAAAACATCAAACTTGGAAATTTGCCAATATTATAGGAAACACTTTACAAATGAGTGTGTTCCCTAATCCTGCAATTCTAATTTAGGAATTTATCGTGAGGAAATCACGATGGATACACGCAAAGGCTTTACTATGTATAATAGTAAAAACAGAATATAATCCAAAAGGCCAACATTAGGGAAATGGTTACATAACTTATGGTTTATCTTTATTATGGAATATATGCACCATTTATTTTAGAAAAACAAACAAAAAAATCAAATTACATGGGGAAAAGCTTGGACTACTGAAGAGTAAACAATGTTACAGAATTTGTAGTAATGTGTGATTTCAACTTTCTTTTTGTGTTGTTGAACTATCCGTACTTTCTAAAATGAGCACTACAAAAGGCATTTATAGCTTTTGTTATTTAAAGTTACTTCAAAAAAATCTTGCCACTTCTTCCTCAAAGCACTTAGCAAATGAAATACAAAAACACTGGAAAACTAGTTTTTCACATTATTTTGTAAACATATTTTACTAATAATTTTAATGCTATTTTATTACCTAGCAAGTATTTGTAATTTACAAAAAAAAAATTGATTTAAGAAAAGTATTTAGAAGCTCGTGTTATCATATTGAGAACAATGACTAAGCCCGTCTTTTCAGTCTCAACAACTCATCTAATTCATCAGGAGCTCTTATTACATTCAGTTTCATCCTGTCTGTTTCCCTCTGTAGAGAACTGGCGCACGCACTGGCTGGGTGCGGTGGTGGCTCATGCCTGTAATCCCAGCACTTTGGGAGGCGGAGGCGGGCAGATCATGAGCTCAGGAGATGGAGGCCATCCTGGCTACATGGTGAAACCCCATCTCTACCAAAACCACAAACAAATAAACCAGGCATGGTGCCACACGCCTGTAGTCCCAGCTACTTGGGAGGCTGAGGCAAGAGAATCGCTTAAACCCGGGAGGCAGAGGCTGCAATGAGCCGACATTGAGTCACTGCACTCCAGCCTGGGAGACAGAGCGAGACTCATCTCAAAACAACAACAAAAAAATCATATTAAGGTAACAATTAAGTGATGTGAAATAGTCAACAGCATGGGATCTTTCCTAATTATGGTTGGAACAGTTGCAATTCCTTTTCTATTGAAAAGAGTCATTAGGAAAATATAATGAATTAGCACGGACAAGGCACTTATTATAATAAACATCAAATGTTGGTTACATAAGTAAATGAATTAATAAACATGGAAAACCACATAATGCACATACATTCAATACCTACTTTCGAAGGTGGTCATGTTCTTTCAAAAATAGCTCAGTTCTTCTGTTGTTTACTCCAGACCCACTTTTATATGATCTGGAACAAAAGAGAAAATTTAAAAACATTTTTGGCAGAGAATACAAAATCAGATTAAGTGACTGACCCTAGTGATCTTGAAAGTAGAAAAATTGAGCCTCTCCACAGTTTTGAATGAACAATGAAAGTGCATAATCCTTTGCATTTCCCTCTGAAAAATGTTATTATAAGTAGATAAATATTAATGCCTCTGCCTCTCTAATTTAGGACTCACAGTTTACAATGTTTTTCACCAAAATAACTCAACATTCTGAAACAACCCACCAAAAAAATCTTACTTTTCCTTTACCTCCTATCTCTGATATCTTCATATTTCTCCAAGTGGAAGTAAAACTTAGGACTGATTTAGTACATAGCACACAGGGTGGGAAAGCTGTTGAAATGAAATGTTTTCTTTCACAATAATACATGTAGTCCACCATCTGAAGCCTAAGGAACACTGAAATCAAGCTAAAGATTTGCTCATCTTGGCACACTTAAGGATAACCGTTTTGGTCTTCAGTGTATTGAAGTTGACAAAAAAATTACTCTTGGGCCGGGCGCGGTGGCTCACACCTGTAATCCCAGCACTTTGGGAGGCCAAGGTGGGTGGATCACAAGGTCAGGAGATCGAGACCATCCTGGCTAACATGGTGAAACCCTGTCTCTACTAAAATTACAAAAAATTAGCCGGGCATGGTGGCGGGCGCCTGTAGTGCCAGCTACTTGGAGGCTGAGGCAGGAGAACTGTGTGAACCTTGGAGGCGGAGCTTGCAGTGAGCAGAGATCACGCTACTGCACTCCAGCCTGGGCGACAGAGCGAGACTCCATCTCAAAAAAAAAACAAAAAAAAAAACTACTCTTATCACTACTATCGAAAATTTAATTTTTCTGTTTCCACTAATAATAAAGTATCAGGAACAATTTTTTTTTTTTTTTGAGACACAGTCTCACTTTCTCACTTTGTTACCCAGACTGGAGTGCAGTGGCACAATGCTGGCTCACTGCAGCCTCCTCAACCTCCCAGGTTCCAGTGATCCTCCTGCCTCAGCCCCACAAGTAGCTGGGACTACAGGAGCACACCACCATGCCTGACTAATTTTTGCTTTTTTTTTTTTTTTTTGAGATGAAATCTCACTCTGTCAACCAGGTTAGAGTGCAGCAGTACCATCTCGGCTGACTGCAACCTCTGTCTCTCGGGTTCAAGCGATTCTTGTGCCTCAGCCTCCTGAGTAGCTGGGATTACAGGTGCCCACCACTATGCCCAGCTAATTTTTATATTTTTAGTAGAGACGGGGTTTCACCATGTTGGCCAAGCTGGCCTTGAACTCCTGAGCTCAAGTGATCCACCTGTCTCGGCCTCCCAAAGTGCTAGGATTACAAGCACGGGCCACCATACCCAGCCCAAAATTTTTAAAATTCAAGTTAACTGTATAAATACTACAGTAAGACAAAAAAGAGTCCTGCTGTTAAAACTGAAATACTGGCTGAGATGCAGGGCTACTGTGCAAAGCACAGGAGAAACCACCACCCAGGAAGGCAGAATGATATAACCAAGAACACATGATGACTTGGATTTAAATCTATACTCCATCATTTCAGTCACTTCACCTTAGACAAGTGTCTCAATACCTAGTTTTGTAAAATGAGACTGATGATTTCTATCTTAACCAAAAGATTGCTGTGAGGCCAAAAAATATAATACATTAAAAATTACGGTGTAAATTACTACATATACTTTCCTCTAGCACCTAGATTCTAAACTCCTACAGGGCCACATTGGTCTTTTCATTTCTCTCTCTTTTTTTTTTTAAGACAGAGTCCTGCTCTGTCATGCAGGCTGGAGTGCAGCGACACGATCACAGCTCACTGCAACCTCCACATCCCAGGTTAAACTGATTCTCCTGCCTCAGCCTCCCAAGTGGCTGGGATTACAGGCGCCTACAACTACACCCAATTAATTTTTATATTTTTATAGAGACGGGGTTTCACCATGTTGGCCAGACTGGTCTTGAACTCCTGACCCCAAGTGATCCGCCTGCCTCAGCCTCCCAAAGTGCTGGGATTAGACGCGTGAGCCACCGCGCCTGGCCGGTCTTTTCATTTCTACCTTCTACTGTGGCTAACTCAGAGTTGGTACTGAGGAGACAGTTTAACGAATAGATGAACATATCTTTTATGGCCATTTTGCATTCCTCAAAATGTATATATAAATGGACTATACAGAAATTAAACAAAAGACTTAAATGTCCTGAAGGACTAAAAATATTACAACAGTTTTACTGCTGAAACTGTTATTGTTACAACAAAATAAAGGATCTCTAGGAAAGTGTTTCTGAGAGTACATATAATATATAGTTTATGATAAATGTGTATCATAGTTTATAAAACATATCACATAGTTTATCACAAATGAGATGATGACAGGTATCATTCGATAGCTCCAAACTGGAAAGTCTTCAGCTTCAATGAGATGCCCACGGGACTTTGTCAGTAGCGTTCAGTTGTGAAAAATCTCCAAAAATGCATTTGAAATGCTAGAATAGATCATTAAAAGTGAGGTAAAGGGACAGAGGAAAAAAACAAATATTTAAAATTACAGATTGAGATCAGTATGAGAATGCTGGGAGTCCTTAAATAATTTAACATAAGGCTGTGAGTGTGTACATATTATTGTTTGTAATATATAATTGTTGGGACAAGGGAGAGGGGCAAGTGATAGGTGATAATCAGGAAGAGAAACATGGAGAGCTTCAGTTACGGATAATGTTATAATTAAAGAATTTCTTTTTTCTTTGACACATATGCAGAGGATCATAAAAGTAACATAATTCTTAGGGTGGATGGTAAGAGATGAGAGAACCATGAAGACACCATCTAAGCTGGACTTTGAATTAAGACAGGAAAGTCAAGGTTGGCAGGAGCCAATGATAGAGGAAGCATGAGATAAAAATGGAAAAGTAGATTAGGATGACGCTGTAGCAGCAATGCTCAAAAGACAGTGAAATGGGAATTGGAAACCCTGAAATCTCAACCATGGTTCTGCCACTCAATTTGCAATTAACCGTGAACATATCCTAAAGCCAAATTTGAATAAATATTCTACAAAATAATATAAAAGGCAACTTACTCAATATCTTTTCGTACTGATCCCATGAGATTCTCCCTTTCCCGTATTGCCATAAAGTTTGCTTTGGTTTTATGGAATTCATGTGTATAATCCTGTAATAAATCAACATCCAGTCTCAACAGAAGCTAATTAAGGATCTTCATCTCACTGAACCAGTTATGCATTATCATCACACTGTAAATTTGTCAAAAAACTGCTATTTAAAAAATTAAATTAACCAAAGGTAAAAATAACTTTAAAATTACTTTGCTGAAGAGTGACCAACTTCTTTCAAATGAAAATAATTCAGTGCTAGGGAAACAGAGCCGTTAAATCACTCTCCTTTGTACCTCCTAGTACTTTGTCTTATGAGAGAGAATTAAGAAGAAAAAAATTCTGACATAAAATAACTTCAAATAGTCTAGGAGAAAACTTGAGAGGCTCTTTCTACTTAACAGTAAACGTAACAGAGTTTATTTTCAAAGTTCATCATTTTGGAGCTCTCACAAAAAATTTAATTCCTAAACAAAAAAGAATCAAGAGAACTGTAAGGAACAAAATAATCTTTAAACATTTTCTATTATTTTTGTACCACTGTTAAAAGATATTAAGAATATTCACTACTTTTCATAAATTCGGAGATGTAGATAAAGAAGAAAATAAAAGTCTTGTCTCCCACAGAGTCCCTGTTGACCTTTTAAAAAACAAAAGTAACACATAAACACGGAGGAGAATATTAAAAGAGCACCAAAAGAAATAAAGGTGAAACAAAGGAAAACAAACATTCTGCTCCATCCCTCATCACTGTTACCATCATTTTGCATTTTCTTCCAGGAAATAATTATTTTCTTTCTTTTGGAGACAAGAGTCTTGCTCTGTCACCCAGGGTGGAGTACAGTGGTACCATCTCAGCTCACTAAAACCTCCACCTCCCGGGTTCAAGCGATTCTAGTGCCTCGGCCTCCCTAGTACTGGGACTACAGGAGTGTGCCACTACATCCAGTTAATTTTTGTATTTTTCATAGAGATGAAGTTTCACCATGTTGGCCAGGCTGGTCTTGAACTCCTGACCTCAAGAGTTCCACCTACTTTAGCCTCCCAAAATGCTGGGATTACAGGTGTGAGCCACTGCACCTGGCCAGGAAATATGTTTTTACATATACAAGCTTATCTATTTCTTTCACTTTGCCAAATAAGTCATAATATACATTCTGATGTACACTCTGCTTTTTGTACTTCATAAAGTATCAAGCAATCTTTCCATATTAGGAAAAAGAAAACTACATCATTCTTTTTAATAGCTGCATAGAATATTATCTTATGACTATCACAATTTAATAAATTCCCTACTGATAAACACTTTAGTTTTCATTTTGTTTGCTATTAAAAATACTGCAAGATCCAGGCACGGTGGCTCATGCCTGTAATCCCAGCACTTTGGGAGGCTGAGGTGGGTGGATCACTACAGGTCAGAAGTTCGAGACCAGCCTGGCCAACATGGCGAATCCCCGTCTCTACTAAAAACACAAAACTTAGCCAGTGTGGTGGCACGCACCTGTAGTCCCAGCTACTTTGCTCAGAAGGCTGAGGCAGGAGAATCACTTGAACTTGCGAGGCAGAAGTTGCAGTGAGTTGAGATCATACCACTGCACTCTAGCCTAGGCAACAGAGCGAGACACTGTTTAAAAAAAAAAAAAATACTGCCAATAAACATTCTTACATGTATTTTTTTAACTGAACTCTTTTATTTTTTTTTTAAAAAAAGTATATTTAGGCCAGGCATGGTGGCTCACACCTGAAATCCCAGCACTTTGGGAGGCCGAGGCAGGCAGATCACGAGGTCAGGAGATGGAGACCATCCTGGCTAACATGGTGAAACTCCATCTCTACTAAAAATACAAAAAATTAGCCGGGCATGCTGGCGGGCACCTGTAGTCCCAGCTACTCAGGAGGCTGAGGCAGGAGAATGGTGTGAACCCGGGAGGCGGAGGTTGCAGTAAGCCAAGACCGCGCACTGCACTCCAGCCTGGGTGGACATAGTGAGACTCTGGTCTGAAAACAAAAGAAAAAAAAAAGTGATTTAAAGAGTAAATGTCTATTAAGTTCAACAGAGCTTAAAAAAAAAAAAAGGAGGCCCGGCGCGGTGGCTCAAGCCCTGTAATCCCAGCACTTTGGGAGGCCGAGATGGGCGGATCACGAGTCAGGAGATCGAGACCATCCTGCTAACACGGTGAAACCCCGTCTCTACTAAGAAATACAAAAAAATAGCCAGGCGAGGTGCGGGCGCCTGTAGTCCCAGCTACTCGGGAGGCTGAGGCCGGAGAATGGCGTGAACCTGGGAGCGGAGCTTGCAGTGAGCTGAGATCCGGCCACTGCACTCCCAGCCTGGGCTACAGAGGGAGACTCCGTCTCAAAAAAAAAAAAAAAAAAAAAAAAAAAAAGGAGTAAATGCCTAGCAATAGAATAATTAGATCAGGGCTGGGCACGGTGGCTCACGCCTATAATCCCACCACTTTGGGAGGCTGAGCTGGGTGGATCACGAGGTCAGGAGTTTGAGACCAGCTTGACCAATATGATGAAACTCCATTGCTACTAAAAATACAAAAATTAGCCGGGCGTGATGGTGCATGCCTGTAGTTCCAGCTACTCTGGAGGCCAAGGCAGAAGAATCGCTTGAACTCGGGAGGCGGAGGCTGCAGTGAGCCGAGATTGCACCACTGTACTCCAACACTCCAGCCTGGACAACAGAACGAGACTCCATCTCAAAAAAAAACAATAACTGGATCAAAGAATGTTACATTCATTTACATTCTGGTAGTGCTAAACTGCCTTCTAGAAACATTACATCAATTTATGTTCCCACCAGCAATATAGGAGTGCCGTTTTTTAATTTTTATTCTTGCCAATAATGGGTTATAAATGTTTCAACATTTGCTAACCTGACAGGTGAAAAATCACCTTTTAGATTTCTGTATTTTTATTTGGAAATACTGCTGAAACTGTTTTTATAGTTTTGGCCACTCATTTTTTGTAAGCAATTTTACACCCTTTGTCCATTTTCCTACTATCTTTTTCTTATTTCTATTATTTCTCTGTGTAGTAAGCAAATTAGTCATTTGTTACAGTTTCCAGTATCAAGTCTTATTTAGAAAGTCCTTTCTGCTCAAAAGTTTATAAATTTCACCTCTGCTTTATGGTTTCTTTTTCTACACTTCTTGGATCCATTTGGAATTTGTTCTGGATGTGAGGATTGAGATAGAATTCTTTTTTTTAAATCCCTGAATAATTAGGCAATGGTTATAGTTCCATTTATTTTATAATTTCTCTTTGCCGCACTGATTTTAAACAACATCTTTATCAGAAACTAAAAATTTCCATACATAATTGGGTCTACATATAAACTCTACTCTGTTTAATTGTTCTTATTTATTTAATTTTTTTTCCCTCTAGTATCAAACTGTTTCAACTATTTCAGCTTTTTAACAGGTTTTAAGATCTGGGAGAACTACAAACCCTCTACCACTTATCTTCATTTTCAAGTTGTTCTTCTTGGTTGTTCTTGTATGTCTATGATTCCAAAAGAACTTTGGTATCATTCTGTCATTTGTTTTTAACTAAACAAACAACAAAACAACCCTGCTGTTTCCACTGGGATGCCATGCAATTCAGACGAAAGTCTTCCCATCCAAAAACGGACTGATTCTTTCCTTTACTTAAATCTTGTTCTATGTCCCTCAGTAGAATTTTGCACATACAAGTCCTACACATTTCTTATTTAATTCATACATAAATACTTTATAGTTTCTTCCATTATATTTTCTAACAGGTTATCATTTATCTCCTATCATAGTAGGAAAACTATTTGCTTTTATGTATTCATTTTATAATCTACCATCTTACTGAATTTAATTGTTTCTAACTTTTTAACAGGTAATTTTCCTGGGTATACTAGACATAAAATTTTATCCTGCTACCTCACAGAAATTTTGTCTCTTCCTTTCCAATATTTACAACTTTTTTTTTTTTTTTTTTTTGAGACAGTCTCACTCTGTTGCCCAGGCTGGAGTGCAGTGGCACAATCTCGGCTCACTGCAACCTCCACCTCCCGGGTTCAAGGGTTCAAGCTATTCTCCTGCCTCAGCCTCCCAAGTAGCTGGGATAACAGGCACCCACCACCATGCCCTGCTATTTTTTTTGTGTTTTTAGTAGAGAAGGGGTTTCACCCTGTTGGCCAGGCTAGTCTCCAACTCCGGATATCAAATGATCCACCCACCTCAGACTTCCAAAGTGCTGGGATAAGAGGCGTGAGCCACCATGCCCAGCCTACATTTCATTTCTTTTTACTGTCTAATTACACCATCAAGAACTTCAAAAACAATGTTATGCATTTGTAGCGATCATGGGTATCCTTGTGTTGTTTTATTTAATGGGAATGTTTTTATTGCCCGGCTTATTTTTGTTCTTTAGTAGAGACAGGGTTTTGCCATGTTGGCCAGGCTGGTCTCCAACTCCTGACCTCAGGTGATCCACCCACCTCATGCCTCCCAAAGTGCTGGGATTACAGGCATGAGCCACCGCGTCTGGCCATCTATTCCTACTTTTAAAAACAGTTTTTAAAATTAGAAATAGTTGCTGACTTTTCACAGTATTAAAAATATTTGTGGCTGGGTACAGCAGCTCATGCCTGTAATTCTAGTACTTTGGAAGGCCGAGGTGGGTAGACTGCCCACACATAGGAGTTAAGAGAACAGCCTGGGCAACATAGTAAAAACCTGTGAACACAGGAGTTAGAGACCAGCCTGAGCAACACGGCAAGGACCTGTCTCTGCTAAAAAAACTTTTAAAAAATTGACCAGGTGTGGTGGCATGTGCTTGTGGTCCCAGATGCTCGGGAGGCTGAGGTAGGAGGATTGTTTGAGCTTGGGAGGTTGAGGCTGCAGTGAGCTGTGATTGCACTACTGCACTCCAGCCTGGGTGACAGAGAGACCCTATCTCAAAAAAAAAAAAAAATTGCCTTCCTATTTGTACTACTATATTTTTAACATATCCTCCATTTAAATCTTTTTTTTTTTTTTTTTTTTTTTTGAGACGGAGTCTCGGCTCTGTAGCCCGGGCTGGAGTGCAGTGGCCGGATCTCAGCTCACTGCAAGCTCCGCCTCCCGGGTTGACGCCATTCTCCTGCCTCAGCCTCCCAAGTAACTGGGACTACAGGCGCCCGCCATCTCGCCCGGCTAGTTTTTTGTATTTTTTAGTAGAGACGGGGTTTCACCGTGTTCGCCAGGATGGTCTCGATCTTCTGACCTCGTGATCCACCCGTCTCGGCCTCCCAAAGTGCTGGGATTACAGGCTTGAGCCACCGCGCCCGGCCCATTTAAATCTTTAAGAGTTTAGTTTTATTGGTGCATAAACATTTATTGTTTTCTCAAACAATATACTAAGTATAGTAAATCATTCCCCCTCCATATCATCTTCAAAGCCAGATGAAAGCACACTCTAACCCACAATGTTACTGTCTATACATGACCATTGACTAGTTCACGGTTACAGCTAGCTAGCTAGGTCTCCAAGAAAGGAAGTATATTACCCAGTGATGAATATTAGTCAACTTCGCCAGGAAATAGCAAGAGCTATTAGATATTTTCAGAATTTTATAATGGTGACCAAAAGAAAAAAAGTAAAACAAGTCCCTCTAGCATGGCATTTATTTTCTCAGATGTTTCTCTTTGTCATTTTAAATACATGTGCACATATCCAATGCAGGGATTAAGAAAAAAAAAACCCGAACTCCTGTGATAATGAAAATGTCTCGAGCCCAATATATTACCTGCAATATGTCTCTATGCCGCTGTAATGTATGCATCAGGGCCGCATTCAAGGAGGGGACACCTGCACTGTTGGTATATTCTGCCATTTTATCGTTTACCCCTGTAAGCTAGAAATAAAGAAAAATAAAAATAAAAATATTTTACTAAGCACTATAAACAGCTAAAAGCAAATTATTTGCCTATATGCCCTTTTGGTTGACAGCAAAACAAAACAAAACAAAAAACAAACAAGATATCAAGTAAGAATTAAGCATTCCCCCACATAATCCATAAAGACCAAAATAACATCATATCACCTGAGAATGGCTGTCATCAAAATTCAAGTGGTGTGGGGAGGTACACATCTTGAATGGAATGGATAATTTCATTAAACATGTCTGTCTCAATACAATCCAGGATCCTATCTAACAAGTATACAGTTATTTGCAAAACAGCCATTTAACAAAGAACTTACCCTTGCCAAAAGTTGTTCAATCTCAATCGCCATTGTCTCAAACATTCTGTCTTGGCTTGATCCATTTAAAAGGGGTGTTGTATCAGAACTAAAAAGAAGTTCAGTTAAAGAGGATCCATTACTCAAATGCAGTCCTTTAAAACATACTTAAAATAATAAGGTAATTAATATGAACCATAAAATGAATTATGGATTATGTTATATAGGGTCTGTGAGAAACAATCTTTTACATTTTTACCCCAAAGGAATTATGGTTCCTTCAACCTCAACATTAAGTTCTCTCTTCTTTCCTTGACTCTTACCAAGAGGAAATAAGATTGAGGTTTAAATGATCCACAGATTGGATAACTAGCTAACGAATACTCAGGAACTGGCTTTAAATTCAATATATACAGCCACCTGCATACTGTGGTACTAATCTTCTACATTTCCACTTACAGCATGCAATCATCTTTTTGTTTCGTAGAATTGTGTTAAATTGCCTTTTCAAATCTGAATGGTCAAAAATCTATCTTTTTATAAGTGAAACTTATGTTTGACAGATTCAAATTCTAAACCCACCTGTCCTGAGTGTTTCTTTTGCCTTTTCTAAAACACCACTAACTTTCATCAGGTTAGGTATGTATTAGCATCCGATGAGCAGCTCAATACAGATCGGAGTTATACCGGACACAGATAAATGCCCAGGCAATGACTATGCTCTCCAATCTTACCGAAGACTTTGTCCTACCCTGTGACAGTGCTTGGGTGTGGCAAATGAAAAAGATTAAAAAATGCTCTGTAGACCACTAATATAAATCCTCCTCTACCAGATATATGAAAAAGAACAATATGCCAATAGAATTAAAGCTTCACAAAGGGAGGAAAAAACTGCTCTATCTTATTCATTGATATATGCCTAGCACCTAGTATAGAGCCAGGCACATAGTAGATGCTCATTAAATGTTTGTTGAATGAATGAATGAGAGAGCAATCTCTACTACTGGTTATTCCATACTCCTTATATTCATATATTCATCAGGACAGTGTAAGACTAAAGAGAAATAGCCAAAAACTAATTCTTCACAATACTAGGATTCAGTTAAATTTAATTCATCTTATAGGTGGGTAATGAATGATTCATAGACCTTGAAGTTTTCAAAATACAGAAAGTTAAAAAAAAAAAAAGAAAGAAAGAAAGATTCCTGGAATAAATAATATTCTAGTTATTGCTTAGTTGACTCATTGTGACATGCTTCCAACCTGGGCATCAAACAAGACACTTTAGAATACACATCAAATCTTGATCCTCATGGCCTTAGATTTTTATTTAAAAGGGTAGTTAGGCTGAAGTAATTCTACAAAGCCAGTTTCAGTTTGTGGTAGAATTTCTTAGGAAATGTTTTCAAGATAGTTTTTCCTTTAGAGGAATAAAAAAAGTATTAGTTCGTGAAGCACACAGAACATAGAAAATGCATAGAAAGAACATTCTTCATTCTCTTGCTAAATAAAGCCAAGTCCAAAGCAATGCAATCTATTTGATGTGTTAGTAATTTATTTTGAGATCCTAGAGTCAATGTTGGCCCTGCTGCCTTTACAACCAATGAGTCCTTATGAAAAAGAAACAGTACTTTGGCTATAGTGTTGAAATTAGCTTTTTGTTCAAATGTATACAATATAGTAGGGTTTAGACTGTGGGTCTGGAGATAGACCTAGATTCAAATCCAAGCTCAGATTTTATTGTTTTTATTAGCTGACAAATATCCTACTCACTTCTAATCTTTGAAAAAGTATGTAAAATAAGTGTGGATTAACAACAACTCTGCTACCAGCAATTTCACCACTAGGTATATAGAAACATTCTGTGTAAAAATGTTCCCAGCAGTATTTATAGAAAGTGCTTACCTAACATATAATGAACACTGTATGTCAGCTATCAAAATTGTTATTATTAATTAGCAAAAATTAGAAACAATGGCCATCATCAAATGGTTAAACTGTGATACAGTCATAAAATACTACATATAAATTACAAATGAATATACCAGAGTTAAATGAATCCATTGCTGAATCTCAAAAATGTTAAAGAAAAAAAAAGTTGTAAAATAACTATACTATATATATACCATATAACATAATAGAATACGATGAATTGCTCAGGAATACAAACATGCAGTAAGAATACATGTTGATTAAGGGGTGGGAGAAAGTGGGGGGCCATAAGGGGCTTCAATGGAATGAGTAATTATCATTTTTTTAAAATGGGAGAAAGGCACTTGGGGGTCCATGATATTACTCGTTGTAACTGTCTTAAATATTGCCTAATTTAAAACAATTTTTTTTTATTTCCTTTTTTTTTTTTTAGAGACAGGGTTTCACCAAGTTGCCCAGGCTAGTCTTGAACTCCTGGGCTCAAGTGATCCATCCACCTCAGCCTCCTAAAGTCCTGGGATTACAGGTGTGATCCACTGTACCTGTCTACTCCTAATATTTTCTTGAAACAAGTGGATGACTTAAAGTGAGCATAAGCTTCAAAGATAAGAACATATTTTCCATACATTTAATATGGTAATATACTAGTTTCTCCAAAAAGTACCAAAATTAAAGACCGCTTTGATAATGAATAACAAGGATACACAGTGCATTAGATACCCTCTAATAGAATAAACACCAGAAAAGCAGTATGTATACTTGGTACTTGGGTAGATCCACAGGTCCATTTAGCAATTGGAAAACACAAGAAATACATACCACATGGGCAAATCAGCCACCTTTTCCCTACACTGGCTGAATTAGACACTCATATTTTTAATACAAACTTATTCTGAGGTTCTAGCAGGCTTCTCCTGACACTGTAACAATCTTTGTCTAAAGATTCCAAATAAATGCTAGTCTCAAGAATTTGGAAGAATTTTAGTAAGTCACTAAAAAATAAAACAGTCAATGACAAAACACCAAAACTTCACCAACAGACCAACTTACAGAAGTTATATATTTTAGTTTGTTTTTTAACACTTTAAAAGCATAGTTAAAGCATAAGAGACAGAATCTGGTAGTACCTATACCTGTCGCGTCTTCCATCTCGGGTACTGCTATGACTGTAACTTGTACATAGTTTGCTGAAGGAAACTAGTTTCAGGTCAAGTTCATTTTCCAGCTGTCGAGCCTGTTTCCTGAGATCTTTAACAAAATTACAACAACAAATAATTAGACATAAAAAGTAGATACAAAAATCACAAGACTATTCTGAAGAAAACAAACTATGAAAATGATCATATACTGATCTAGCTACACCCATAAAGAAAAGTGTTGGCTGGACACAATGGCTCACGCCTGTAATCCCAGCACTTTGGAAGGCCAAGGCGGGCAGATCATCTGAGGTCGGGAGTTCGAGACCAGCCTGACCAACATGGAGAAACCCCATCTCTACTAAAAATACAAAATTAGCCAGGCGTGGTGGCACACGCCTGTAATCCCAGCTACTCAGGAGGCTGGGGCAGGAGAATCGCTGAACGCGGGAGGTGGAGGTTGCAGTGAGCTGAGATTGTGCCATTGCACTCCAGCCTGGGTGACAAGAACAAAACTATGTCTCAAAAGAAAAAAAAAAAAAGAAAAAGAAAAGTCTTAAAAGAAGGAAACCAAGGACTTGCCCAGCAAAGCAGATTAGTCACTTATAAACTTCAGAGGGGACAGGAAGGGAAGTAGTAATGGGAGATGCAACTTTGCAGCTTTACTCCAAAGATGGCTAGAAAACAAAAGTTGTTCTACCATTCCTGAAACTATTTATATAGCGATAACTAAAATTCTGTAATTCAGAGAAAAACAAGAAAAGAATACAAATCACAAATGAACTAAAACTATGGTTTATGACCAGCATTATCAACTTACCAGTTAATGTTATAAGAAAGAAGCCATTATTCTTTTGAAAGGGATTTTGCTTTTTATGTTCCAAAGCTTTATTAGGCTCATGAACTTCTTTGCATAATAGCAAAATGACTTTTTTTTTTTTTTTTTTTTTTTGAGATGGAGTCTTGTTCTGTCACCCAGGCTGGAGTGCAGTGGCATGACCTTGGCTCACTGCAGACTCCACCTCCTGGGTTCAAGCAACTCTCATGCCTCAACTACCTCCCAAGTAGCTGGGACTACAGGCACATACTACCACACCTGGCTAATTTTTGTATTTTTAGTAAAGACAGGGTTTCACCATGTTGGCCAGGGTGGTCTTTAACTCCTGACCTCAAGTGATCCACTGACCTTGGCTTCCCAAAGTGCTGGGATTACAGGTGTGAGCCACTATGCCCAGGCCAAAATGACTTCTCAATTGAACATAAAGAAAAAAAGTTACCATGAAAATTGCCTTTTTCTTTCTTTTTTTCTTTTTCTTTTTTTTCTGTTATTAGAGATGAGGTCTCACAATGTTGCCCAGGCTGGTCTCGAACTCCTAAGCTCCAGTGACCCTCCCGCCTGGGCCTCCCAAAGTGCTAGAATTACAGGCATGAGACACCGCGCCTGGCCAAAAATCGTCTTTAAAAAACTTACTGAGGCCAGGCACAGTGGCTCACGTCTGTAATCCCAGCACTTTGGGAGACCAAGACGGGTGGATCATGAGGTCAGGAGATCCAGACCATCCTGGCTAACACAGTGAAACCCTGTCTCTACTAAAAATACAAAAAATTAGCCGGGCATGGTGACGGGTGCCTGTAGTCCTGCTACTTGGGAGGTTGAGGCAGGAGAATGGCATGAACATGGAAGGCAGAGCTTGCAGTGAGTGGAGATTGAGCCACTGCACTCCAGCCTGGGCGACAGTGCGAGACTCCGTCTTTAAAAGAAAAAAAAAAAACTTACTGAAAGTAATTTGGAGGGTTAAAACTAACAATAAACTATGTGCTACTAACAAGGTCGAATATGAGTATGACAGAAATAAGTACGTAAGTTTTAACAGCAGAAGCAAACAAGCAAGTAGATAAATTGGTTTAGCAGTCTGGCATCTAAGGGGTTGTGTGACAGAAGCCACAGTCTGGACAACCACACACAGACACGAGTATTCTCATTCAAGGTAAGTAAAGGTTAAAATAAAAGGGCAGAAGTACCAGAGGTAATGGTATAAGAATCTCTCTTTCAGTGATAAAGAATACAAAACATTATTTCAATATGCTTTTCAACCAGAAATAGAAAGCATAGTTAACATAGTGGAGCATATTTACCCAGAGACCAAAAGCCAGTTTGAATCTCGGCACAGCCACTTACTGACTCTAAGATGTATCAACAATCTACTTAACCTATGACCTTCAGCTTCTGGTTTTTTAAACCCCTACCTTCAGTGTTTGCCTATGTATTGGTAATCATATGCTTAAAGCAGCTGGCACAGAGTAGGTTGTCAGTAATGAGCTGCTGTAATATCATAGCATGCTGCTTCAAAAAACCACAGCCTAATGACTAGTAATAAAGATATCAGTAGCCTCTTCTACATAATTTTAAAAAGTTTTCTAGCAGCCAGGCGCGGTGGGTCATACCTGTAATCCTAGCACTTTGGGAGGCAGAGGCGGGTGGATCACGAGGTCAGAAGATCAAGACCATCCTGGCCAACATGGTGAAACCCCATCTCTACTAAAAATACAAAAATTAGCCGGGTGTGGTGGTGCGCACCTGTAGTCCCAGCTACTCAGGAGGCTGAGACAGGAGAATCTCTTGAACGCAGGAGGCGGAGGCTGCAGTGAGCCGAGATCGATCGCGCCACTGCACTCCAGCCTAGGCAACAGAGCGAGACTCTAGATTCTGTCTCCAAAAAATAAAATAAAATAAAATAAAAAGTTTTCTATCTAGTACACACATTTCAAATGGGCATGGTGATACACGTTTTAAACTATAAGCACGCTTTTCTGTGATTGGAATAATTGTCTTCTCCAGTAGGAAACACAAGTAAAAGCATTTAGAAAGTATGATAGGCAAATCTGGATAAATTTAGAATGAAGTTTCTTAGACCAAGGGGCTGATAGTGACAATATTGTGGTTTCTAGAGGCTTCAGTGGATTAGCAATAGAAACAGGTCAAAGGAATTTGGAAAGTAGTTTCTATGGTGCAGTAAAGCAGAGAGTTGGGAGAAAAAGGTGAGCTTTCTCTGCTCCTGTTGATCACCACGGTCCAGGAATGAGTTTTACGTAAGCTCACTTTATCGGACTATATTTTCAGGAATTAAATAAATGCATTTGTCAAATCACAAGAAGGTTTTTTGGTGGGAGAAGTATAGCAAATGTAACTGCAATTCACACAGGTTCTCTCAACTTTTTCATTAAAACCGATTCTAAGACTCCAGAGCAGTATGGTAAGTTATTTTCTCTTCCTTAAAACACCCAATCCTGAAGTTCCCAGCCTGTAGTTGTCATGCGGACCCAACAGGAGACATTCTGTCTCCCATTCTCTTCATACTTCCTCCGGCGGACCGGAATGCAAGTTCCTCCTTTCTTTTCCCACTCAGATTTCCAATAGTGACCTCAACTCCACTGCGCCGACTCCTCCAGTCTCCTGGGCTCTGGATCTTCTCCCTCAACATTCGTTTCCTCTCAGAGTTCGTACTCCAAGCCCCTTCGTCCGAGTTCCATTACTCCCTCAACATAATTCTACCCAGGCGATTCAGATCCCTCTTCCTCCACATCCCCGCTCTGTCCACTCTGTCCAACCCCTGCCCCACGTCCCGCTCACAGGGGTCGGCCAGGCCAGACCCCTATCCCAGACCGTTCGGTATCCCCAAGGCCCTGGGGCTCCCACTTAGGCAAGCCCCGCTGCTCAGCTCGGCCCCTCCGGGGGTCTGGTTCTTTCCTCTGCTGTTTCTCCCAAGATCTGTCCTCACTCAGCCCCTCTCACCCTCGTGGGACGCACCCGGAGGCCTTCTCGCCCTCACCTTCCCAGTAATTGCTGGTTCCTGCCGCCATCTTTGTTGTCCAACGTCAGCCGGGATAGGGGAGCAGACGCGATGCAGGCCAGAAAGTCACCACCGCGCCTGTTTCCGCCCCGAGCGCCAGGGCTGACGGGATGCGAGCCTCCGCGGACACTGCCACCTGCTGATCAATTCGTTATCTTACAGCTTTTAAGTAGCGACAGATAAAAAACTTCAGCTTTAGCTCCTGACACTCTCAGAATGTCTGTCTTTCATTCCCGCTTTCTGCGCCCCAAACCATCATCATCTCCCTTATCCCGGCTTATCCTTTCTCTCAGCAGGTGCCTACTTGACTGGGAGGAGACTCATCCTCAGGCAACTCCCTCAATTTCCTTCACCTTGTCTCTAATGAGTATCTTCAGCCAATTTCTTCTTTTCTCATACACAGAGACCCTTTCTTCCCAGAGCCATTTCCTTCATCCTACCTCCCCGGCTGTGCTCCATCATCCACGTTCTCTAGCATATGCGCTCTTCTCCACTGGCTGCTTTCCTTGTGTCTACAGTAGTTCTAGTTCCAGCCCTCTTTCCTTGTCAGCCGCCACATCTAGAAAGAGCGAGCTAACTGCTTCTACATGCTCTCGGCCTGAGCCCTCAACCTGCTAAAATCTGCTGTCCAAACCCACACTTTATAGATACATAAATTATCTGCTGGTGCTGACTTAATTCTAGTGAAGTGTAGAAACCTTAATTCCTGTAAGGTTCTTTCCCCCACTCATTTGTAATATAGTTGTTTTTAAGTATTTCCTCTGCTTTCATTGAGAGAACCACATCAGTCAATGTTGTAATATTTGCTTCAAGTGTCAGGCATAAGTTAGAGAATTCAAGAGAAGAGGAAAGCTTACTTGATTTATGCATGTTTTACTCTTCTTCCTTCCTAGTGTCCCAAGATTCCTTTTTTTAATGGTTTCCTTTCTGTTTCAAGAATTTCCCTCAGCCATTTTTTTTTAAAGAGTAGATCAGCTTGTTATGCCCAGACCGTTTATTCCCCGAAGAAGACCACCAGAGTCCAGAGTCAAAGCTAAGCAGCAAGGATCTTTATTACAGGTTCGAACCTGGAACTCTCCCTCGCTCGCGAAACGAGACGGGCAGGAGAGCTCCCCCACTGAGCTCCGAGCAGTGTTATATAGTCTAAGAAAAGTGGGCATAGAGTTATTTTATAAATCAGATATATGATTGGCTAGTGTTTGAACAAGGCGATTTGGCTAACTATGATTGGTTCCCGCCATTTCTGATATTTCGGTTCAACCTTTGAGGCGGGAGAGCAGGTTTATGGCAGCAAGAGTTTAATCTTACTTAAACACGTCTTGTGACCTTGCCTCAGAACTTACAAAATCTCTGGTACGTGCAAAACAAAATCTCTGGTACGTGCAGAAAAACAGGTGCTCACAGAACTTACGAAATCTCTGGTATGTGCAAAGATTAGAGAGCAGAACAAAGGTGTAGCGGGGGGGCGGGTACACATCTATCTTTGTGTCCTTTCAAGCTGGTGACAAATTCTATTAGTTTTTCTTCATCTGAGAATGTCTTGATTTCGCTTCATTCTTGGGGGATCGGATATTGTTGCCAGATATAGAATGTGAAGTTGACAATTTCTTTTTTCAGCACTTGAAAAATGTGCCAATTCCTTCTGGCCTCCATAGTTTCAGATAAGAAATTGGCTACAATTGGAATTGTTTTTCCACTGTAGCTAAAATATATTTTCTCTCTCACTGCTTTCAAGAACTGTTCTTTAGTTTTCAGAAGTTATGATGTGCCTTGGTGTAGATTTCTTTGGATTTATCCTGTTCTTGATATCCTCAGCTTCTTGATTGTTACATTTATGGCTTCTGCCAAATTTGGGGGATTCTCAGCCATTGTTTCTTCCAATACTTTTCCTATCAAATACTGTTTCTCTTCTTTTTCTGGGAGTCTGATGATGTGAATGCTAGATCTTTTGTTAATGTCCCACATAGCTCTGAAGTTATGCTAATTTTTTCTTCAGTCTAGTTTCCCTCATTCGGATTTGGTACTATCTACTATTCTGTCTTCAGATTTGCTGACGGGAAAGTATGTCTTTCCTTTGTTCCCTCCATTCTGCTGTTGAGCCCATCTGTTGAGTTCATGTCAATTATTGCATTTTTCATATCTAAAACTTCTGTTCAGTTCCTCATTATATCTTCTGTTTCTTTGCTGAGACTCCTTTTATCATTTGTTCTAAGTTTGTTTGTAATTGCTCACTAAAGTATTTTTATTAGAGCTGCTTTAAAGTCCTTGTCAGATAATTCCAACATCTGTGTCATCTTGCTGTTGGGGTCTGTTGTCTTCTTTTCACTCAAGTCGAAATTTTCTGGGCTGTTGGAATGACAATTTTTATAAATTGTATCCTGATGTTTTAGGTATTTGTTATGAGATTCTGGAATTTAAGTTTTCTGTTTAAGCAGACTTGCTCTGACACATGCTGCTGGGGGGCATAGGGAAATGCTTGCTACTTCCAGGTGGGAATGGAAGTTCCGGCCCTGCCTTGGCCTTCACTGATTCCCCAGGGAGGAGGTGCCTTGTTACTGCTCCCCATGTGGTCCCCATTGCCACCATGGCAGGGAGCCTCATTACTGCTGTTCGGTGGACAAGAAGTCCAAGTGGGTGTGGGTGGGGCGCTTCATTACAGCTGGTGAGTGTGGAAGCCTAGCCTCCTCTCTCAGCCCTTGATGGCAAGGAGTGAAGATGGGCCTCAGTTTTTTCTGTGGCATTTGTCCAGAGTGGTGAAATTATTGTCCAAAAGTATTCTGTCTTGTTAGGATACCTGTTTCCTGGTCCGTTGTCTGGAGAGAGAAGGCTTTCCATTTTCCTTTGGGCTTTTCTTGTCTGCACCCTTTGGCATTTCTAGGTTGCCAGCTTCTCCAGCACTCAGTATAGGACATAGGAAACAAAAAGGAAACCCAGGGAACTCAGCTTCATGTTCTTTACATTCTGAGGTCCCTAGCTGGTCTGCCTTCTTTTTTCCACCTTTTTGAGTCTATATATATATATTAGCTGTGCTTAGTGGGAGGAATAGAAAGAAATACAGCTAATCCATCTTGTCCAGAAGTGAAATTGTCCCTTTAATTTTTAAATGTTTTAATTATCAGGCTGGATGTGGTGGTTCATGCCTGTAATCCCAGCACTTTGGGAGGCCGAGGTGGTCGGACTGCTCGAGTCCAGGAGTTTGAGGCCAGCCTGGGCAACATAGTAGGACCTCATCTCTACAAAAAATTAAAACATTAGCCAGGCGTGGTGATGTACCCTGTAGTCCCCGCCACTCAGGAGGCTGAAGTGGAAGGACTGCTTGAGTCCTGGGGGTCAAGGCTGCAGCGAGCCATCACCACACCACTGCGCTCCAGTCTGGGTGACAGAGTCAGACCTTGTCTTAAAAAACAAACAAACAAACAAACAAACAAACTGCTAAAATTCTTCATCTTGTCTTCTACTTTCTTGAATTCATTCATTCATCATCTTTTTTTTTTTTTTTAAGACAAGTCTTGCTCTGTCCCCAGGCTGGAGTGCAGTGGCATAATCTCGGCTCACTGCAACCTCTGCCTCCCGGGTTCAAGAATTCTCCTGCCTCAGCGTCCCGAGTAGCTGGGAATACAGGCGCCTGACACCACCCTGGCTAATTTTTGTATTTTTAGTAGAGACAGGGTTTCACCATATTAGCTGGGCTGGTCTTAAACTCCTGACCTTGTGATCTGCCTGCCTCGGCCTCCCAAAAGTGTTGGGATTACAGGTGTGAGACACTGCACCCAGCTTTTTTTTTTTTTTTGTGAGACGGAGTCTCGCTCGTCACCCAGGCTGGAGTACAATGGCGTGATCTCGGCTCACCGCAACCTCCACATCCCGCGTTCAAGCGGTTCTTCTGCCTCAGCTTCCTGAGTAACTGGGATTACAGGCATGCACCACCACGCCCGGCTAGTTTTGTATTTTTATTAGAGATGCGGTTTCTCCGTGTTGGTCAGGCTGGTCTCGAACTCCCGACCTCAGGTGATCCGCCTACCTCGGCCTCCCAAAGTGCTGGGATTACAGGCGTGAGCCACCGCACCCAGCCCATCATCATTCTTTAAAAATTTCTGATAACTGAGAAATATGTACTTCCCATAGGATTGTTTCTATTTTTCTTGATCTTTCACAATGTAATCGTCTTTTGATAAGAACTTTTGATTGGATGCTGTATATCATAGATAAAACTTCGTATTAATCATTTGAGGATCTAGATGATGTTGTCTTTCTTCAGAAAGAATTTACTGCCTCTTCTTGCAGGCAGTTCAGGTAGGGGCAGAGCAGCTTAATCCAGTATGGAGTGGAACTAATACCAAGAGGGATTCTGTGTTTGTTAAAATTGGTCTATTTCTGATTAGCCCTTCATTCTAATGTGTAGCCATTCAGGTTTCCTAACTGGAATACTGTTTACCAGTGCCACTTCCTTGGCAGGTACTAACCTCGTATTTTCCCCCACCCAGTGATACTGCCTAAAACTTCTGTTTGGGTTCTCTGTCTCTTGCCTGGCCTCTCTTCTGTTACCTATGAATTGAAAAATGCCTGGACGTGAAAGTTTTACCACCACACTCACCTCTCAGCAATTTTTGTTCTGGGATCTTGATCCCATAAGTCCTTCCTACATTAGTAGTTCTCCAATCCTTCAAACAGCTGGTTTTTTTTGTTTGTTTTTAAATCAAATTTAGCTTTTCTAATTGCTTTTGATGAGAAGTCTTTCCGTTTCAAGCCAATCCACTCATAGCTGAAAGTGGAACTAAATTTTATTATTTCTAATTTATCTGTAGATTATTTTGTATTTTCCACGTGTATAATCATATCATCTGCTAATAATGACAAATCATTTCTTATCAATATTCATTCATATATGCTATTTATATTTTCATGTTTCATGGCTGAGATCTGTTCTGATAATAGAACAAAGCTAAGGTATTAAATACTTTAGTTGGTATTTTTGTTGGCATGTTCAGGGAGGAGTTGTAAGTACTCTGATTTTGCAGTTCTCATTTGACTAGCAGGACTCTAAATTTTCCTCCTTTTCTTCTTTTCATCACCTAATTGTCT